AGTCTGACATATATTATTGTGAAGAAAGAGGATGTTTGCTTGGTTGGTTAAACTGTACGTTTAGGATTGACTGCTCTTTAATGCACAGGGCGCATCCTTTCATTAAACTCAAATGGGGCTACATGTACAGTACATATTGACAGGAGACTGGATACTTTTAATTTATAGTTGCAACTCAAATCTATGATAACAAGCCATATACAATGTTTCTTCAATCCAAGAGACTGTTAATGAACAATATCAGTGGAAGCTGATCAACTGATTAGCATATTAAGATTTTTTTAAAGGTAATTTCTATGAATAGCAAAAACATAAAGATAATTCATAAAGGATTATAGAATTAGATAGGCAACAATGTACCTCAAGCAAACAGAAAATGCCAAATGTCCACCTAAATGTCTTCTCATGTGGTTCTCTATAATTTTGCATTATAAACTGAAGTGGTATATGACTTCCAAAAATTAATTTACAATCAATTCTGCATAATAAAAATACTACTTCTGGTTTAGAATTTTGATTTGGGATCCAGTCCTCCAAGTTGCTAAATGCTTCTGTGATGTGCCGAACTTATGTAACTTCCATTGTTTTTGCTGGAAGTTAAGGGTGTACAGTGCCTCACAACAGGCATGTCTACACTTACAAGATGATCGATGCTCTGGAGGTCTCTCGTCTAGCATTCGAATTAGCGAGTCTAGTATAGATCCCTAAATTGAACACTAAGGGCAGCCCCCACTGATGTCTGGCACTCCTCCTTCTGTGAGAAGTAAGAGAAAATGATGGAAGCATGTCCTCCAGTTGGCCTCCCACTGCATGGATGCCGCCATGGCTCAGCTTAAAGTAAGCAAAATGCGTAGCTGGAGTTGCATACCCTAAGCTGACCTGCCTGCTCTAGTATAGACCAGACCAAGCAGTGTTCAATACCTTGAAGAGTCAGGCCATCAGGCCCCAATTGAGAAAAGCACCTGCCTTAATCTGTCTGTTCAGCAAAGCACTGATGCCTGTGCTTAATTTTAGGCAAATATCTAATTCCCACTGAATATAATGGGACTTAAGTATATGCTTAAAGATAAGCATGGGGTTAAGAGCTTTGCTGAATGAGTATTGACTGCTAAATCAGGGTCTAAAAGCATATACTATTTCTGACACAAATTTCATATTAATAAGACAAGAACAACCCTGAAACAGGCTTATTCAAGTTAATTTGGGGGAAATGTAGAGATTTGTTGTGAAGTGAAAGATAAATGTGATACATGTCATAATGCTATGATATTTAACTAAGCTTTATTAAAAGTAAGTAATGTATCTAATACAAAATTCAGTAATAAAATCTACTATTTTAATATTTATGCAAAGGGGTATCTTATTGTTTGTTTTTGCTGTTTATAGCGTTTCATAGGATACTGCATAAAACAAACTGAAATATATACAAGGTACTAAACTCTAAAGTTATAGTGATAGAAAGTTATATGTTGTTTTAAAGAAAAAAAAAATGCAGCACAGAGCACTCCATTTGGTCTTGTAAATAGAGACCTTTCCCCTGACAACAATATTGTGGGTATGAAGATGTATCAATTACCAAATCTAATTACATTAATGGATAATGGATATTACCCTCCTCCACCTCAGGATGGGAACTTCCTGGTTTGTCTGTTTACTTACTTGACTTTAAAACTTTATACACTTTATAATCTGTCCATGGAACAAAGGTAACTTGTCAATAAGTAAACTAGGAAAAATATGCAAGTTTCAGCTATTCTCTTGCAGCAATGTGCATGCTAATATTCCACTTGTTTAACCTTCTATGTACAGTTAAACTATGATACAATTAATACTATTTGAAAGTTTATTTCTAAATGTGACACCTTACCTTCTAAACAAGTCTGGTAAGTCACTCAATGCTCAAATGATAATGTTTGAGATATAAAAAATTCAAGTCATTCATATGAACCTCCACCTGATATGCTTAATATTCCATTATAAATAAAAATAAAATAAAAGCACAAGAACAGATAAATGTCATTCAGCTGCAAGTTAGCAAGTGTCCATAGGATGGCTGTAACAGAAGTAGTCTGCCAAAAAATGTATCCTGCAAGCTGTAATTTAACATTATTCTTACTGTCCTCTGAGTCAGTATCCACTGTACTGTCTTTAATTTATATGCAAATTGTTGCATGTGCCATATGCTGACCATTTTGAGAAGCTACTTATTTTGTCCAAAGAAAAGTTCATGTATGGTACCTTTGAAGATATTAAACTCAAAGTAATGTACACTTTTCTGTATATTTTAAAACAACATGTGTTAAGACATTACAGTGTCAGTGATAAATTATTCAGTTATATTGAGCTTTGTAGTCAAACAAACTACTAACACAAAAAGCTGTCAGACAGTAAATAAGAAAATGGTGGGGGGGGGGAGCAGTTTTAAATTAGACAAATTTAAGTCTTTCCTGATGTATTCCTTCTACTTTGATTGTTGCATGTAAAAGTATAGTAAGGTATTTTCTTCTCAAAGGATACCTTGTAAATTTACTGTGCATAAAAATATTTTCTGAGAAAACATTCTAAATAATTTAATAAACAAGATACAATCAATATACTTCTGCACAATAACCTCAAAGAAGGCACTTATCAGCACGAGTAGTCATTTGTATAGTCTAATCTCTTACCAAGTCCTACATTTAACATTAGCCATTTTCTTTCACCAAAACCAAATTATACTTTTGACAGTCTTTTGAGATGAATTCTGGCAGCAAGAAAGTATCTTTCATATCTCATATCTGATTAGCATGGGTTACCTCATATGCTGGCATAATAATCACTAAAAAGGCATCATCTACTATGTATTTAATAAACCTTAATGGACTAAATCTTATAGACTTTTCCAGTACTTTACATTTTATATAGGCAATATTTTCAAAAGTAAAATTATAATGGTCTCCCTCCCTGAAAGAAAGTAAATGAAATGTTTTGCCAAGAAACTACTATGTCAAATGTTCTGCAAAACATTAGTCTGATCAGTAAAACAACATACACAAAAATATTAAGAAAATATTACATCAAGCATCAATTTTGTAGCTCAGCTGGAAGAAGGAATGGCTTATGAAATTCACTTCTACTTACAATATTTTATTCCACCATGCAGAATGCAAATACGGGTTGCATATTATAAAAGTCAATTTTACTATACTAACAGGCATCTCAAAGTATAAAAAAGTTCTTGTGTACCATATCTGCATGTTAATAAGTGGGAAAGAAACCATTTTTGTCAAATTAGTCAGATTTTCCATGTTCCAGACTTGGCACCATATTTGCATGAATCTGCATTCATTTACCTATCCTATCTTGCATAATGTGCATGGTAGTTGAGAAAACTTTCAGAACGTTCATCTTATGTAGATCTCCCAAGACAGATCAAACCCACAACACAGTTTCCAAACAAAGTAAATCAAGGAAAATAATCACAGCTCAAAATTAAACATATGCTTTATAAAACATATACTTTATAAAATAAAAATATATGTCTGAATTATAATAATGGCCTGATTTTCTACTACATTACACCAATTTGGTGGGAGCAATTACACTCCTGTCTCCCTTTTATAATGGCAGAACTCAATTGACTTCAGTGACTGATTTACATCAATGTAACTAAGCTCAGAATCAGTCCCTTATAATATCTTGAAGTTCAAAAATACTTAATTAGGTAATATTACAGAAGTCAGTACAACCACTACTGACAGATACTGCTCAGTGAGGGTAGCACAGTTGGGATCTTACTGAGCTATTGAATGTAATGTAATATCCTTCAAACTAGTGAAAAACATATTACAGAAGAGGGGGCAGTTCTGAACTCACTTGCACATGTATTTATCAAGAGTCAGTCTTCTGAAATCAATGGTATTACAGTGGTATAAAGGAAAAAAAGATAGAAGTGGGATCACAATCAGGCACATATATTATATAGAGATCTGAATCTTAATGAATGACCTGCTAATTATATCCCCCAGCCTTTTAACATGGTGGTTTCAAATTCACATAAATAGAGCCTTAGAGAGTGTGACTAAAGTCAAGGGACAGCTCCCTCTTTCAATAGTACCCTGCTGCCTGGGTGGCAGGCAAGAGCTCTCTCTCTCACACACAGAAACATGGTTTAGTGGATGCACCTCCCTCTGAAAGAAGGTGGCTGCCTGATTCAAATGGACTCTGGTGTCTGACAAACTATTTAGTGTGGGGAGAGGGGCAGTGGATAATGGGAGGTCTCAGCCTATTGCTCTTATTACTGGCTGATTATCTGTGGCTTGAAGGCTGTGCAGGGAAGGGAGTGTGTCTACTGCTCCTATGCTGTGCTTGTTAAATGTGTGTGTGCTTGTTAAATGTGTGTGTGCTTGGGGTTGATAAGAACGTCTCAGGTTGCCTTCTAGGGGCTTACTTGCTTGAAGGCTTGGGGGGTGGAGACTTTCTGCCATCACTCTAGTAACCTATATTTTATACAGGTTGTATTTGAGACAGGATGCCTCCACTGTGTATATCTGTGGGTGTGCGGGGAGGGGTAATTTTAGTTGAGAGTCCCCTACTCCTCTGCTTGTCATTACTTACTGTCAGTCAGCTGGCTGGCTGTGTAGAGTGAGAGAGGGGATGGGGGTTCCTTGGTTTCCTTACTTACCAGCTGTATTTGCAATTGGTTACATTGGCTGTCTGCAGGGAAGAGTGAGGGAGAATACCAAAAAAATCTCCTCTAGCAGTTGCTTACCACACTTGGTGCTGGCAAGGGGGGGGGGGGGGGGGGGGGGGGGGGGGGTGTGTGTGTGTGTGTGTGTGTGTGTGTGTGTGTGTGTGTGAGAGAGAGAGAGAGAGAGAGAGAGAGAGAAAGAGACAAGAGAGGCTTTCCCCAGTTCCCTCACATGCTTGCTCTAGATGTTGGGGGGAAGGGGGAGCGGAGGGAAGCTGGCTGTGTGGAGGTACTACAGGCAGTAGTTAGGGGGTGTTCCCAGAACCCTTACCTGCTTGCTGTACTTGCTGCTGGCCTGACAGCTGTACTCGGAGCAGTGGTCCGATCCAATGGAGATGTTGTCTCCTGCCCCCACAAAAGTATTAGCCGGGGGCAGTTCCTGCACGGCCTGGTGCTTTTTCCCGGCGGTGGGGGACTGCGGGTGGAGCTGGACCGTGGGCAACGGCGAGCTGGATTTGTAATGCCTGGCCAGGTCCGGGCTGCCCGGGCCGCCATTGACCGAGCGGTACCGGCCCATGCTGGGGCTGTCGGAGAGCTTCTCGTTGACGCTGTCGTAGCGCTGCCCGTTGGGTTTGGAGGCCTCCACGGTGACAATGCTGCTGTAGAGGGGCTGCTTGCCCTTCTTGCCCTTCTTGTCCTTCTTGGGCTTCTTGGCCTTGTCGTGCTGCTGCGGGGTGAAGAAGTCCTCGTGGTCCTTCTTGCCCGCCTCGTAGCCGTGCTTGCCCTTGGAGCGGCAGTAGCGGGCCATGACCACTACCAGGATGAGCAGCACCACCGTCATGATGCCGGCCACCACGCCGATGACGATGCTGAGCCGCTGCTTGCTCAGCTCGTAGCTGGGGTCGCCGGCGATGTCCTGGGCCAGCGGCGTGTGCAGGCTGCGGGCCACCTGGCTCTCCACCACGGTGGCGTTGGAAAGGCTCTCGTTGACGAAGACGTGAAGTAAGGCGGTGGTGGCCTGGGGCGGCTGGCCACTGTCGTTCACCTGCACCACCAGGCGGTGCAGGCCGTGGTGCTTGGGAGCCAGCTTGCCCACCAGCGACACCACGCCGCTGGCCGGGTCGATCTCGAAGAGCTTGAAGGGGTTGCCCCCGACGATGCTGTAGTTGAGGTCGGCGTTGAGGCCCGTGTCCGCGTCGGTGGCCAGCACGGTGGCCACGACGGTGCGCAGGTTGCTGGAGGGGGGAAGCACGGTGTAGGAGCTGTTGCTGGGGAAGGTGACGGCGGGCGGGTTGTCGTTCTCGTCCATCACGAAGAGGGAGACGGTGGCAGTGGCCGAGCGGGGCGGCTCCCCTCCGTCCACCGCCTTCACTTTGAAGGTGTAGCTGGTCTGCTGCTCCCGGTCGAAGGAGACGGTAGAGTAGATGGTGCCGGTGTCGTTCTCGATGGAGAAGATGCCGGCGGCCTGGTCTTGCTCCCCGGGTTGGATGGAAAGGCTGAGCTCGGCGTTGCGGCCCCTATCGGCGTCCATCACGGTCACCATGCCCACGGGGCTGTTGGGCTGCAGGTTCTCCTTCACGTAGAAGGTGAACACGTCCTGCATGAAGCGCGGCTCGTTGTCGTTGCGGTCGGCCACCCGCACCACCACGGTGGTGGAGCCCTGCAGGGCCGGCACCCCCTTGTCCCGGGCCGTCACCTGGAACTCGTAGGTGTCGCGCTGCTCGCGGTCCAGCACCGCCTGCACCAGCACGTCCCCGGAGTCCGGGTCGATGGTGAAGATGCCGCCGGGCGCCTCCGAGGAGAGAGGCGAGGGCTCTAGCGAGTAAGTGATCTCGGCGTTCTTGCCGCTGTCCGCGTCCGTGGCCGCCACCGTGGCCACCCTCTCGCCGGGCGAGTTGTTCTCCGGGAAGGAGACCTCCACCACGGGCTGGCTGAACACCGGCGGGTTGTCGTTGGTGTCCGCCACCCGCACCAGCAGCGAATTGTTGCTGGACAGGCTGGGGCTGCCCGAGTCCACGGCCACGATCACCACGTTGTAGTCACGGACGGCCTCGTAGTCGAGCGGGGCCGAGGTGTGCAGGAAGTACTTGCGCTTGTTCTGGGGCTCTCCCTCGCCCTCGCTAGCCGGCTTGAGCTGGAAGGGCACGTCCCCCACCACTGTACAAGTCACCACGCCATTCTCGCCCTGGTCGCGGTCCGACACCTGCACCAAGGCGATGGGGGTGTCCACCAGCACGTCCTCGGCCACGCTGGCCACCCCGTCCCGCAGCGGGATGCGGCCGATCTTGCGGATGTCGATGGTGGGCACGTTGTCGTTCTCGTCGCGGATGTTCAGCACCACCGTGGCCTTGTCGGTCTTGGGCGGCTGGCCCCGGTCCCGGGCCATGACGGAGAAGCGGAGCTGGTTCACCTCCTCCCGGTCGATGCGGTGCAAGACGCTGAGCCAGCCCGAAGTCTCGTCCAGCCGCAGCAGGCGCCGCACCGACTCGGTGGCCGCCCCGAAGACGTATTCGATCTGCCCGTTCACCCCCACGTCCAGGTCTGCAGCCCGCAGCTGCAGGATGGGGGTTCCGGGGCTGCTGTTCTCCGCCAGGTCCGCCTCGTACACGCTCTTCTCGAAGCGGGGGCTGTTGTCGTTCACGTCGGTGATCAGCACCCTCAGGATGGCCTGTGAGGAGCGGGCCGGCCCTCAGGCTCAGTTCATAGGAGTCCCGCTGTTCTCGGTCCAGCGCCCCCTTGACAATCAGCTGCGGTTGCTTCTCCCCGTCCGGGGTGTCAGCCACTTGCAGCTCGAACACGCTGCTGCGGGCCGCCCCGTCCACCTCCTGCCTCCTCTTACTGCCGCCGGGGTAGAGGGCGCTCTCACCGCCAGAAGCCGATCCCCCTCCGCCGCCACGTCTCCCCCCGTCCCCGCCGGGCTCCTGCAGCAGCTCGTAGCGCTCTATGCCGTTGCGGCCGAAGTCTCTGTCGGTGGCGGTGGGGAGCAGATAGAGGGTCCCTACAGGCCGGATCTGCTCCACGGTGAGGGTGAGGACCGGCGACGGGAAGGTGGGGGTGTTGTCGTTGATGTCCAGGATGATGACCCGGCCTTCGAAGAGATCCACCCAGCTCTGCGAGGGACCGATCACCGAGACCTCGAAGTCCAGGAAGCACTCGTTCTCATCGAAGATCATCTGCTCAGTGGTGCTCAGCTCCCCGGTCATGTTATCGATCTTCAGGTAGTCGGAACCCGACTCCAGGCTGAATGTCACCTCGCCAGAGCCCGTCACGATGCCCAGGTCCGAAGCCACGTTGCCTATGCGGGCCGGTACCTCAGCTGCTGCTTGGCCGCGGCCAGGCTGACCCAGAGCGGAGGAGGCAGGAGGAGCAAGAAGCAGCAGCAGCAGCAGCAATGCACAAAGCCAAAGAGAGTCCGCATCTTCCTCATCTTTTTCGCACCAAAAACCCCCTCCTCTCTCCCACCAACTCCCCTGACAAGCCAACAGAAATGCTCAGCGTGCGGATGATCAATTATAAAATCCTTCTCTTCCGGGAAACTTAGTGTCTCATAGCTGGTGCAATCGGTGGTCAAAACCCTGGTGTTGGCTCTTCTCCGCCCTTCCTTCCAGTTGCAATATGCTTACAGTTCACGGGACAGTGTATTTTCCTTTTTAAAGATTCATCTCAGCAGATAGGACGGGATTTTCCTCCTCCTCTTCCTCCTCCTCCTCCTCTCTGGTTTTACTGTAATCACTTTGCAAGGTTTGGATAATAAAAGCAGGAGCAGCACGGTGCTATTTGAAGCCCTCCCTCCTCAGGTCGTCTTCTTTGCTCCTAGAGTTAAGTACAATTCACACTCTTCTCCCTCTGTCTCTCTCAGCCCTTTACGACTAAGGCATTAGCTCCTTTCTTTCCGCACTCTGCACGCACACGGGGGAAAAAATGTGAATCGCCTCATTCAAAAGGGCTGAGTCCGGAAAACTCCTAATCCTTTTAAGCAGCGGGCAAAAACACAATTAAATCATTGATTAAAAATAAAATAAAAAATAAAGAAAAATACCCCCCAAAACCCAATAATATCGGTAGCTGTGCAGTGGCTAGGCGAGAACCTCTTGTATCACAAAGCAGTCCACAGAAAATCCCTTTCGGTTAGCAGAAAAGCACCCAAATCCATCTTCACAGATCGCCTAAAATGTTCAGTTCTTTCTCTGGAGAGGATTTTTTAACAACTCTGCGCAAGGTCATTAGTCACAAAGCGACGATACAAAAACTGCAGAAACCGTTTGCCCAGAATTTCCAAAGCAGGAGCAATGCACGCACACACACACACACAACAGTCCCAAGTTTGTTTTTGCATCCGCAGTTTGTGTGTGTGCCTTACCTGCATTTGCACTGCATGTGTTATAGCAATCTGGATCTGCAGCACTGAGAGCGATTCACAAATGAGATTGCAGTCAGTCTCGCTCTCTCTCTCTCTCTCGCTCTCTCTCTCTCTTGCTCGCTCTTCCTTTCCGTCCCAATGCAGGTAACCAGATCTGAACTTGATCCTTTCAGTTCAAAGGTTAGCAACCAGGCTATGTGTCCAAAGGCGATTATTGCTCTCTCGTTAATATACCCGGAGCGGAACAAGATGTAACTGGATTCCCCACGTGAATTAACAGATTCTGAATTACATCCATGTAAGCGGAATGGCAGAGGGGAGGGGGAGAGAGGCGCGAAGCGATTATAAAAATGCAGTCTTCTTTTGCAAATGAAATACTGGCAGTCAATTGTTTCCTCTGCTCCCCACCGCCTCGGCGGGTGGAATCTGCCGTTGTGCCTCCCCTCTGGTGCCTTTCAGGGAAGTGTGGTTCGGGCGCTTTCACAGCAAAGCGGCTTGTGCTTTAAAATGTTGAATGGCAACTGAGGCGCCGCTTCCCACTCGGAGAGGGGGGGAGGAGGCAGTAAACCAGGGGAGCCTCTCTCGGCGGCTCTTCCCTGGGGCTGCAGCAAGCGGAGCCGCCTGCGCTACACACGCCGAGAGAGGGAGGGAGGGAGGACGAGCCGAGCGCTGCACTCCGGAAAGCCCAGCCTTACCCTCTGCCTCTGCTGCTGTAAGTGGGATAGCTGCGGATCGCAATCCACCAGCCCGGTCTTCAACCCCATCCTCGGTGCACACCACAGTGCTGCTGCTGTTGCTCTCGCTAACCCATGTTCTCCCGTGATTTCCTCCCCCCTCGAGCCACCTTCTGACTCTTCACTGATCAATTGTTAAGCAAATCGTGGTTCTTCCTTTTATTTTAGAGCCCCTGCGTGCGCTGGTGGGGGCATTTTGTGGACTCATGTTCCCCAAACAACTCATTTTGCTGACATTCGCACCTTTTCTGTCTCCTGGTGCTTCTCTGAAACAGAAGATGAGCTGCAAGACTGTAACAGGATCAAACTCCAGGAGAGGAAAGGGGAGTGCATTAGAGATGTCAGGATTTTGCCGGGGGGGGGGGGACTGTCTTTATTCTGCCTCTTTCATTGATTTGAATGCACATTATCAATGGCATCTCTGTGTTTCTTGGGAAAATGGACCCTCAGAGAAGGAGCCAATGTGTGTGGGAAGGGTGGGGGAGGGTTCAGCAAATAAACACATATAAGAAGAAGCACTCGATTTATTTTGGAGTAGGCACTTCACCGATTGCTAAAATGTAGCGTCACCTACCTGGATAAGCAAGAAATAAATGTGAATGTGATAGACCTGGACACAACTTTGCTTATTCTTGCATCCCTAGTTCACTTTCTCCTTCTTTTGACTTTGTGCCACTTAATCGCCCGTGGCATTTGCATGCCTCTGCTCTTTTGGCTGATGTCTGGCGCTTAGACCTGTCCCTTCCATTCACACTCATCAGAGCAGCGAGGGAGACTCAGGCTGGTGAGAGAGCAGGGACAGGGCGGGCATGGGGCAGGCGGTGGGGAATCCCGCTTTCTCAATCACTCACCTACACA